GAGATAAAGGAGATTGTGTGTCATATCTCGAATAGGGGTTGGACTTAATGACGATTTTATTCGTTATCAGCATTTATGAATTTTTTATAACATCTATTCCGACCTACAATATTAAATGTTTTCTTTTTTATAATAATTAAAAATATAAAGAATTTTGATAATAAAACATCGTAATATATTGCGCTACTCACTATTTTAAAAGTTGCCGGAAAAGTCAATCAACTCGATGCTGGATTTTTTTAAAAGTTTTTTTTTCTTATTAAAATAAACTTTTTTTGTTTCCTAAAAAATAATTATGTTCGGTTATACGCTAATTTCATAAATTATAACATGCATTATCATTATAAAATTGCAACGATTTTGATTTAAATGTTTATCAGAGTTCAAGAATTGCTGAAAATTTCCTATCATTTACCGAATTAATATTCTTATAAGTAACAATCGTCACACTAAGCTGTGAAAAGTTCGTTATTGTGTAATTAATATGTTAATTTTTCTTACAAAAAGACAAACTAATACGAGCAAATACTTATGGTGACATCGGTACAATGCCGAGCAGAAATTTTTAATTGTATTTTTAATTTATTTAATTTGAAATATTCACTTTCACTTCAAATTAGTAGTATCTTGCTCTTATATATCGTACTTTTCCTGTTAGCAATATTGTCGTGCCGGTCATCTATGCAATTCTTTAGAAGGAAAAATATTTGAATGGAAATAACGTGACGTCGGATTGCATCAAAAGTTCGGGGCCTTGTGTTCCATCTCATTCCACATCTGCTCTTGAGTTTTGTCTATCTAACACCGTTGCGGAAGGACAAACGAACAGACCACAATGGGAATTTATAGGTCTACAATTTTCTCAAATTGTAGCCCAACAAACATCCATTTACGTTAAGTATTAGTATAAAATCGATCGTAGATTTATAAATTTATATGAAATTTTATTTAATAAGCCATTTATACATTGTCAAATGAATTATTTAATGAAAATACGAGAATATAAAGTACAAAGTTCGAAATACAGGGTTGAAAAGGTTATGTGAACAGCGACATCAAACCAAAGGTTCATTAATTAATATGACATTAAAGCATCTGTTTCATATAATACACGGTTTGTTTGACATGGAGGAGATAAATAAAAATTGTATAAAGCGATGGAAGCAGCTTCGTGATGGAAGCAGAAATCAGGACCACAACTGTAAGAGAAAATATCATATTTTACATTTTGCAAGTATAATGCATATAAAACTATAACAATATTATATTAATTATATTTCATGTACCTTTAATGTTAGCACTGATGTCTGATCAGGCAATGGGCATGAAGTCCTTTCTCGCATCTTGTGCACACTCTTGCCGATGTTTGTTTTTGACTCTGAGTGCTACACACAACGCAGCGGAATTGCTGCCTACCAGGCAATTTTCGAAGTCCTGGTGGTCCTCTCAGTGTGTGTGGGTGGACAGGGTGTGTGGGATATAGGCACGGTCTCCTCCTTCGATTCCTTCTTCGGTCTTGCAATTACCTCTTGGATGAAGGGTTGATGGGTCATCCGGCTTTTAGTATTTTCTTTATAAAGAAAGTATGCATTCAACATCATTCTGGCCATGATATTAAAAGCTACTTTTTTCCAACATTTCCTGGACCGCCTTTCATCTAAATACGTATACAGCATCATATCGTTCGTGTCTACTGAACCCATAAATTTGTGATATTCTAAAACTACCTGTGGCTTTACTTTCTCCACCCCGTGTCTCTTAACAATTTTGAGGTCGCGTCCCCTTTCGTGGCTGGATAAAAGACGAACAGGTTGTGGATTATTTTCTCGTTCCCTGAATGCACAAGCCAATATGGGGCCAGATCTGAAATATGAGATCTGGCCTACAGTGAATCTCTTTGAAGCCAAGAGGTAATTGCTTTCTGAGTGCTCTTGCTGTCCCAGTACAGTAAGTTCCACGGGAATAGAGGCCACGAATCGACGTAAAATAATTGTCGATGAACACGCAGAGGCGGACTAAGGCTAAAGCGGGCCCTATGCAACATTGTAATTCCGGGCCTATTTTTAAAATTAAAAACCTAATTTCCGGGCCCCAAAACTTACGGGCCCTAGGCACGTGCCTAGGTTGCCTAGGCCTTAGTCCGCCCCTGTGAGCATGTGATAACTCTTGTTATTGTAGTTACCAAGTGTCATTAGCTGCCTGACAACAGTATAACCCAAACCAAACTTTGAGATACTGTGCTTCTCTACCTGAGACTTGGCCTTTTTGTAAGTGAAGCCCAGGCAATAGTGTGAAACAGAGTCGCACAGCATCCAAAGTTTGATTCACCACCTGTGATGTTTTTTCCCGGGTTGATACTGAATGTTAGGATTATGGCACTTGGTACCTACTAGTGATTCATCGACGCATTTGTTGGTGTGGGGTGTAGTGATGTCTGAACACCCTGTTCGCGTGATCCTCCAAAGGTTGATACCTTAAAGAGGCATTATAACCTAATTCCCTTGGGCCAGGCAACTTACTATCGAATACTATCTACGAGATGGAAGAATCGAAGCAAGTTACAATAGCGATCCCTACTACAAGAAGTTTCCGCATACCATTTAGATTCATACGAAAAAAGATTGGACCAGTAATCAGATATTTTTGGTCTTCTGTCAATTCCCATTGCAAAAACAATAGCCAGCCAAAAACCCCTTTATTCTTTAATAGTGACTGGTTTCCACATCTTCAGATATTTTGGAACATTCTCTCCATGCCAGTTATAACTTGCTTGGCATACCTATTAGTTTCCATCACCATAACGGAAAGTAAAGTAAAAGAGAAAAAAAGGTTAACATATTCTACAGGATGAAAATCAGGAGGAGGAGGAGGAGGAGGCCGCGGCGGCGGCAAGTGTTTAGGGCCAGATAGTTCTTGGAAAGAAAGGAGCGGGTAGAGATGGTTCTGGTGGCAGAACCTCAAGGTACACCTCATCTTCCAACTCGTCATCAGAAAGCTGAATAGAGGACAGCCCGGCGAATGAGGAAGAAAGTCCCACAGATGACGAAGGTCCCGCAGCTACGGTTATAGGCTACTCGGCATCTTCTTCGTCGTAATCCGAATTAAAATCCCTGTATTCCAAAACTTCAACATCACTTTGACTGTCACCACTGTCAGACTCAATGTCTGAGACTGACAACTTGTCAAAGTATGTTGACAGTTTAATTTTTTTGTTGAAGACATATTGTATTCGGAAATCTAATCTGAAATAAAAAAGATACATGTTACAATTGAGAATAACAGTAAAAAAACTAAGAAAATTAAAATAATAATACTGTACTAATAAAAGAAATAAGACTAAAGTAGTAAATATAAACAAGTCTTATATTATTTCTATAATATCGTAGAAAATTAAATTGCATATTTTATCAAAACAATTTAACTATTAAATTGTTACAATATTGTTTACTATTTATATTTGTAATATTTATAAATAGAAATTTATAATACACATCTACAAAATATGATAAAATTTAATAAATTTAATGTAATATATATGGATTGAAAGTGGTTTAAGTCCATTTATTGTTGTTTTGAGAATATGAAAGGTTAGCATATTAGTCAATTCAAAAATATAAATTAATGTCAAGTCTGGCAATGTTTCTACTAAGTTATCAATATGTAATTTGATTATATAAATTTCTTTTAGGCAAACTAAAATAATATATATTTATGGACTGTAAATGGACTTACACCATTTTCATAATTAGTCAATCATACAAATCATTTAATTTCAGTTATGAAAAAATTAAATATCATTTAAAATATAATTTTGTATTAATCCAATTTTGTTTATACATAATAACAAGAAATAAGATAACGTTCAAAATATAAAAAAAATACTACTGCTAATTATATTTATATATTGTTAAACTTAACATAAGATATTGCTATTATTTATTTATGATCTTTACGTGTCTGTGTTTTGAAATATTCATGATGCACAGGAGGTATATCAGGTAATAACTGCTCCATGTCCTTATATTTTTTATATGTAATAGGTCTGGTATCATTATACAAAGTTGTCAGGGAAATTGTTTCAAATTTTGGCAGTCTTCCCTGACATGTAATTCAAAATGATCCAAAAAAAACCTTTAACAGGAAGCTTAATATTGCTAGCAACTGGTAGGTGACAAATGTAACGTCTTAAATTCTGTGTCCGCTATCGATATTTTATATAAAATAGTATACGGTATACTTTTGCAAAACCTAACCTACAGCAACTGTCTAAATTGATACAGGCTTATTACAATTCCATAACCGAACAAATTTTGATCTTAAAATCAGAAATAAGTTTAATACATCAGAATTATAAAGGAATTCAAAACTACGCTTGGCTCGTTGGAGCAGAAAGTAAAATCAGCTAAAAAGAACTGTTCCTGATTATGATAGAAAAATAGAAGCTCAACAGTTCATGGTAAATAACACTTTAAATATAATTAATCTATTATCCCCTAAATTAACTAGTCTATTCCCCTTTAGAATTCGACAAAAATTCAAAGACTTAACTTATATAGAATAATTCTTATGAATTAAAAATCCTAATCGTCACCTCAATATACTAAAAACCTATTTCTTCAACTCTCAAGACTTACTCTATTCGTCGATCCACAAATCGAATAACTTCAAAATCGCCTTGGAACTAGTTTTATCCTATTGGACACCTCTCTCTCGTTTACTACTACGAAGCTCACCTCGCTTGTCTTCACTTGAGATTCGGTGTTTATACTGTGAGGTAATGTCACAATTCTGACTGCGATCACTCCCCTCATTTACATACTTATTCGCTAACAAACTTTTTTCTGTTTGTCTGGCAGCCTATTTTCCGACAATACTCGTTAACCTTTTACATTATTTTTTTTGACAATTTTCGGGATGTTTTATTCTTTTAAGGTTTAGCGAGTTGCTAACTTGTGCTTGTGGGGTCCCCCCTTTTCTCGGCTTACTTTTTTCTGCTTGGGAGCGCAAGTGTGCGAGAGTTTTTTCTACGACGCTTTTCTCTCGTTGGTGAGTTGGTTTCTCTTTTACTTTTAAGTTTCTAAGGTAAATAGTGAGGAAACCTTCGTCCTAACAAAACATAAGCCCCAAACAAAATATAATAAAAAGCAAAAATAAAAGTAAATAAAAATAATGCTCGGACTTGGTTCCTTACAATACAAGAAACATTACCGATGATTTAAAGCGCTAAATTTAAAAATACCAATTAGTATAATAGATGCTTTGATATCGATTGCATTAAAATCAGATAATTTGGCATTTTAATTCTCTTTTGACATGATATCACATAAAACATTTGATGAATTAAAAAAATACATTGCATAGTTTTCCAGACTTTATAAGGAAAGTTTCCAACATTTCTTTTGTGAAATTCCATTCTCTGAAACATATGTTGCTTCCACGCTTTCTCTTGTAGATAAATTTTATAGGACGAAATCTACATTACTAGACCATATCTTATTTAGTTTTTTTTTAAATTTACTTGGATTAGTCTACCGAAAATTGTTCGGATTAAAGAGACATTTACCTATTTAATACATTTTATAAAATTTTTATCGCACAATGGTATTGTGATAATACAAGGGCACGGGGTCAGTGCCCTAATTTCCACTTACATGTGGAGTTGGTAAAACCCACCCACTTCTTCTTTTGGATGGGTTAAATCGAGTGGTGAGGGGGTTAAGCAAGTCGGCAGGTGTCCAGTTCTAAATGACAGGAAACAGGTTTAACAAATAAACAAAGCATTTATTGAATAACTAAATCTAGATTACAGGAGGCTATGTAAGTTCTGGGAATAATGCGATTATGTGCTATATTATTTACACCAAATCTGTGACTAATCTGTAAGCTATGTCGCGTGCCCAATCTGCGTATTGGAGAGAGAATTTCTAAAGTTTAGTCCGAAATATCTCTAGGGATAAATATGGAGAGCAGTATGCGACAATTGGGCGTGCATGGACGCTGTAGGATTCCTCAATGTCTTCTAACCAGGTCTTCTCCTTTCATTGGATCAAGTCCATTGCATGGAGGTCCGGGAGTCGAGGAGGCACTACCACCAATTATAACTTTCAGTTCGATTGCGGTAGCTCTCACATTTATATCATTGTCGTGGGAAAGGGGTCACATGATCTTCAACTGTTGACAAAGTATTCTTGGCAGCTAAGTGTCAACTTCCCCACTGACTTGTTATTACAGCTTATGACATCCGATCTGATTCTCCGTTTTTTTATCAGGGATGTTTACATTTAAAAAAAGCGAATATTATTAATTTTGAAATCCCCTTAAAAATCCACTAACTCACAGTATTGTTATTTTATTACTTACTACAAAAAATTTACATTTATATCTTTTATTCTGTGGTCATTTGAATGAGGCTGTTTTATTCTCTGTCTGCATTAGGCAAATATATGTTTTATTGCAAACATTGTGTATTAAAAAAGTTTTAGAATTTTATAATGTCTTGTATAATATTAAATATTCATATTTAAAGGATGATGATATTTCAGAATCTATAGAAAATAAAATAAAAAGTATAATGATTAAATTATGTTACATCTAAACCGTTTTCCTTAATAAAATTTTTATCCTAAAATGAGGAGAGGAATATTTTGTTCTGAAGATAACGTTGTCACTACATGATTTTTACATTTAATTCCGTATTATTGATCTCATAACAATTCTTAGTGAATAAAACTTCTTTATATTTTACATGATTGAAAGTTTTTACAACCTAAAATAAAAAATATTAGGAAATGATTTAAAGCCATCATAAACATTATTTGTATAAATTTGAAGCGTTAGTGAATCAGTATCTGTGTATAATAAATTGACATTTTTACCATATTTATTTTAAAATGTTTTATGTTTAATTTTTAAAACTATTATTCATTAATTTAAAAAATACTTATCAAAATCATCTGTCGATTCCTGTCCTTTTTTATTAAAAAAAACTACATTTTTTGTGATTTTATGAGCCATGCATCAACATTAATCAATATTTGTTATCACTGTGACATAATTAGCTATATTGATCGTAACAAATATATATATTTGTTGATATAGTTACTATTACTATTTCTCTGTCTTTTCTTATTTTATTTAATATACAGACAAATATTTAATTTGAATTAAATGTAAAAAAGCTATCATTAAAATTTATTATGGTATGGCCTGAATAACACAAATGTAAAAATAACTTAATTAAACGTGATTATTATTATTCAAGGTAAAACCCAACTGTACTTATGGGCTAAATATGGAAAGATGATGTAATGATGAGTATGAGAGAGGTGAGAAGAAGTACCACAGATCTAAGTAAGATACTGAACAAATATGTTAAATCAGAAAGTATATTTTTGCAGAATGACCAGCATGACGCATAAAATCAGAGAAGAGCAGCATGCCAGAAACCACGGGAATAGCGGCATGCTGGTTGAACTGCGACTAATATAAATAACTAATCAGATCTAACAAAACTAATTGTTCATTAATTAAACGTCAAAGAAAACATACTTTCGAGTAAAATAAAATATAAACATTGTAAACTGATTGACTTAAATTAGGAAGGGTTTTCCTTTACAATAGGATAAAACAATTAACAATTAATAGTAGTAGTATTAATAGTAGGTAGTGTGGGCTACACTGACCATCTACCCAACCTTAAAACTAACAGTTTCCTCTCAAATTTCATACAAAGCGGGTGGTAATGGGTGTAAGTTGAGATAATTTACTACGAGTTTCTTAAACTTAATATGTTTATTTTTACTTTTTCGAATCAAATGACAATAAAATTCATATAAAAAATTTACTTTCGGAATTCCACGAATATTTTATGTCGTTTATAAAATAGACAAAATGTAGAAATTAAATATATAGCCATAGACTTTGATGTAACAATAACAGTTTTACAGTTTTAAAATAAAAACGCGTTCGTTTTTTAATGCGCTCTTAAAAGAGGGTTGTAGAATATAACCCTACTTAAACTGTCATGCCGGCATTCCCCCGAAATAAACTGGATGTCGGTTATTACTGTACAAAAATATTCGATCTCATGGTCTCCCCAGATAGACCGGCATGCTAGTCATTCCAATAAAATACGGTAAAAATAATATAAAACTTATTGAAAAATGCATAATAATGCACCTGAAAAACAAATTTAACTCCGACTATTACTCGAACTTCCCAATCCTATCTTATTTTTTCATTTTATTTAGTTTCTTCTTACCAGTAAATTGACAAAAACACTAGCCTGTGGATTCTCTTAATACGATATTTACATATTTTCTTTATTCTTTCGTGTTTTATTAAATTACTAGTGCATTTAAATGTGCTAGTTTTATTTTAAACGACGTGCATTTGCTGTTTCAAATTTATCAAAACGGGTAGCGTTTAAGATCTGGAAATGAATGAATTCGCTTTTCGTTATTTCTAATACATGTGAAAAATTGATTTTGCATCTGTACAAATAGTTACGTGTATAAAGCGCATCTATTAACTTTTAGTACACCAGAAAGTTATCGATTTTTCACATGCAACATATTGATTCAATACACTCAACTAATATCCATTGCTTTTCATAGGCACTTAGAACGCTCTTTTTTATGTTAATATTGCAATAAAACATCGTTTTAATGTAGTTAGACATTTATTTTTTACTAGCCATGTTACCCGTTATTGACAGGAGATACTTATTTCATGAAATTATATTTACTTACCTAAAAGTATATATGCAAAGAATTTTCTTACACATTCTTTATATTCCTAATAAATAGTTGGAATATTTTTTAAATACACTTATTGAATTACATCGTGATATACAATATTTCGTGTTGACTTATCAGGGGCATAAATGAACAGAGATTTGCAGCTACTAGCACGTGAGAATGCAACATAGAGTTGGCCATATAAATAGCAACTGCATCTCAGGTCTACTTCTGCAACTCTTTGATTTTAATCAGGCGAGAATATTTATGCACATAACAAAATGAATCCTGGGTACTCTAATGCTTGTACTGTGGACCGGCCTTAAAAGTGGATAGTAAAATTACTAAATGTCCCAATAACTTCACCATGTTTTAGTGCGTCTTTCAGGTGAACTTAATTGTCTACCCTTAACTCCTTTTGGTGTGTTTTTGTACACCAATCTTTCAGTTTTTCTCTTCCCATACATCTCAGAATTGTTTGGATAACTGCCGAAATGAAAGTAAAGAGTTTAGTTTGCCTTTTCTTACATTCATAACATAATAATTTAATTGAAGGGCAGAGGTTTTCTTTTTAGGAATTCTTCGTTCTCCAGTTTCAGAGTCAACGTGATATATTGAAAAATGGTAGCCATCTTTTTCACAAGATAATATCAGGAGATATCGTAGATGCATATGCTCGAAGAGTTTCAGAAATAAGCCTCAAACCCTGATTTCTTGTACGTAGAATAATACCTCGCTTTTCACATTCCTGTCCAACCAACAATACAGATACCTCATTTGTAGTTGGCCTGTATAATAGTTGCTGTCTTTTTTAATTGGAACTATTTAGCATGAATACCAATTTTGCGGATATGCCCTTTAGGCATTGTTTCCAAAGCTATTTTGATTTCCCTTACATGTGGGTTGCATTCGTGCATCATTATCTGCAAATTACTTACTAAGTTGGACTTTAAACTTAGAAATTGAGCCGTTCTTTGATCAAACTGGAATTAAAAATCTGCAACAAAAAACATTTGAGGATACTTGGCATCTTCATCTTGTGCAGAAAGTAAACAACCTATTAAATGATATATATGTCCTTGAATTTCGAATGTTGGCATGAGATTGGCAGTGTTTTCCAAAACTTGTAATTTGGAAAGCACTGTTGTAAGCCCTAATATTCTTTAATTTAAGAAATGTTTAGTGTCAGCATGAGTCTCATTTAATAGTGATAAAGGCGGTTCAGGGGAAGAAAAAAAAACAATACCTAATTTAGCTTTGCCAGACTAGCAGCACATCCCATGTGATTCATTCTTCTTCTTCAAAGCA